CGGGCCCCATGGCGTACCAGGTTAACACAGAATTAATTATGAAAGAACTGAACGCCAAGTACAAGCTTAAATGGGAGCACGTGGAGGCCCTCTATAACCTGGAGGCACCAACCAGATGGTACCTCAACATTAAAAAAGAGGCGAAAGCGGAGTACCATGCCCGCCTTCACAATGTCCTCATCGGGGGCATAGAAAGCCATGGATTTTTAGGAGCTTTGGTCCATGAGGACAAGCTCAACATGAAAGTGTACCTACCATGTTGGGGGAAGAAGGGGTGAGAGAAATCGCCGAGCACCTGGAGGCTCCCAACACCCCTTTTAAGGTGACTAGACACCCCCAGAACACCTCCAAGTGGGCGTTGCATTTAACACCGGGGAAAGAAATTCCCCACTACATCCTGGTGAATGCCGGGGTGTTCCAACAACACAAAATATGAGTAGTACAGGTGCCGGGGAGAAGGGTGCAGTGCTTCCACTGCAAAAGTGTGGATCACTGGTCTAACCAGTGCGAGCGGATTAGAAGAAGACCCACCAACATGGAGACGGCCAACCCACCCTCTGTCCCATCAACAACAGCCACGATGAAACAGAAGAGCTACGCGACAGCGACGACCGGAAAAGCCACCCCAGCAGTTTCGACACCAGCAGAGAAGAAAACACAGAAGAGCCCTCAGGCGGAAAAAAGACAGGAAACGAAGACCAAAGAGACTAGAAGGAAAGAAGAAAAGAACAGGAAGAGAAGAGAGAAGAAACCAAGGACAAGGAAAACCAGGAAGAAGAGGTAGAAGTAGAGTACACATCAGGAGAAGAAGAAGAAGAAGAACCTTTCGTCATCGTTAAAAGAAGAATTATAGAGTTAGTAAAAGAATTGGAAACAATACAACAGTACAAATACAAAGGCGCTCAAGTGAGAAGCCGAACACTCATAGACAACTTAGAAGTACCGACAAAACAGTTCCTTACCGTGGAAGAAAACATACAACGCAGCAATCACATCAGAGTTATTGAGGACAACGAAGGAGTGTTCCACGATAACGATGGGATTGTCAACACTTTCATGAACTACTACACACAATTATATAAACATGAACAAACAAACCCAGACATACAGGACAAGTACGCCTCGTATGCAAAGACCCTGGAGGCCACCCAGATGGCCGAACTGGAAAAACCGATACAAATCACCGACATCAAAACTGCGCTGGATGGGATGAACAATGGGAAATGGTGACCCCCACTCCTACATGCGGTGATAAGCAAGGCATACGAGAACAAAGAATTAACCCCCAACATGGGAGAGTCATACATCAAACTACTATCCTAAAAGAAAGCAGATAAAACACAACCTAAAAACTACAGACCTATATCACTACTGAATACAGACTACAAAATACTAACTAAAATGATAGCCAATAAAATTAAACCCTATCTTAAAGAATTAGTGCACCCAGACCAACAGTGCAGCATTAAAGACAGAAATATAAATAACCATAATCAATTTATTAGGGATATAATAGATTACGCCAAAGACAAAAAGATACAGGCAAGTATCTTGGCACTTGATCAAGAGAAAGCCTTTGACAGAGTATCACACACATACTTACATAAAATACTCAAACAAAATAACCTAGGTTCATACGTGGGTGACTGGGTCAAAATAGTATACAAAAACCCCGTAAGTAAACTATTAATAAACAATACACTATCAGATGGGATTGAGATACAGAGATCGGTCAGACAAGGATGCCCTCTATCTCCTTACCTGTACATCCTGGCAATAGAGCCAGTATTGGAAAAAATCAGGAAGGATCCTCGAATCGAAGGAATTAGCGTACCAAATAGAGGTGAAAGAAAACTGCTCGCTTACGCTGATGATAAAATTCTTCCTTAAAAATTACCAATCAATCAAACAAATAATGGAAACCTTTAAAGAATTCAGCCAAGGTAGCGGTTCTAAAATCAATATAACAAATCAGAAATAATGGGGACAGGTAAACCGACCAATTCGATGACCCATTTAATAGCAAAAAAATAACTTTTTATCCAAGGACTAACCTTGACAAACAAGTCTGAAGGGAGGAAAGCCATCATCATGTTGACAAACAAGTCTGATGGGAGGAAAGCCATCATGTTGACAAACAAGTCTGATGGGAGGAAAGCCATCATGTTGACAAACAAGTCTGATGGGAGGAAAGCCATCATGTTGACAAACAAGTCTGATGGGAGGAAAGCCATCATGTTGACAAACAAGTCTGATGGGAGGAAAGCCATCATGTTGACAAACAAGTCTGATGGGAGGAAAGCCATCATGTTGACAAACAAGTCTGATGGGAGGAAAGCCATCATCATGTTCTTCAAGTTTTACAGCTTTGGTTTTTATCTCTTTCTTTTCATGTCACACCATGCCACTTAGTGTCCCAATGATTCCCACTTTTCACTCCACGGGGCATCACACATTCCACATTTGGTTAATAACAATTTTATTTCTGATGTTTTAACATTGTTACTGTCTGCATCACCAATTTTTTTTTTTTTAAATGTAAATTGTTAAACGTCAAATTAAAAATAAAGTTAAACACTATGTTAATGCAAAAGGGCGGTGATGAATGAAGTTTGAAGTTTCCGCAATTTTGTCTTTAAAAAAAAAAAGAATCAACGGGGATTTTTTATACTATATTGATACGAGACCCACTGGCCCACAAAAAAAAGTTTTGTTTCATTAACACGCCAGTGGCACAGTAAAGAAAGGTGTGTTAACCTGCTAATGGCCAGCTATTGAAAGGTCAGCTGTGTCACCAGTGGCACAGTAAAAGAAGATGTAATTTGTTACAGTAACAAACCAATGGAATGCTTATGAAAGATCTGTTTTTTTTAACATGCAAATGGCACATAATAAATTACTACAATAAAAACTACACCAATGGCACACAGTGTGACTACCTAAGTAATATCAAATGTCAAAGTATCTTCAGCCCACTAACATGATCTCATTTTTTCACCCTTTAAATATCCATCACAGCAGCAAAACTTCATAATTTGGGGATTAAGTTTACAAACACACGCAGATTGACCTCCATACGTGTCTATCCGACTGATGTCTCTCTCGTCCACATGGTAGACCAACTGCTTGCCCCATACTCCTGGATCAGTGGTGTCATCACCAGTCTGCATCCGAGCCTGTACCGTGGCCTCAAAAACACCATGACACCTGTCAGTCTCTATGGTGACTTGAAGCTCTATCATGTCCAGGGTTGCGTTGCCAAAGAATGCGGTAAATCTCCCATCTTCTTCAACAGCTGGGAAGACACAAGATAAGAAAACTCTTTAGTGAAGCTCACCAGGGACTTTAGTTATACAAAAACATTGAGTGGTTATTCATGATTCATTATCATCTCAGTTCTGACCAGACTTTGAGGGCTGACACACGATACATAATCATCTCAGTTCTGACCAGTCTCAGAAAGCTACATTATCATCTCAGTTCTCACCAGTCTCAGTAAGCTACATCATCATCTCAGTTCTCACCAGTCTCAGTAAGCTACATTATCATCTCAGTTCTCACCAGTCTCAGTAAGCTACATTATCATCTCAGTTCTCACCAGTCTCAGTAAGCTACATTATCATCTCAGTTCTGACCAGTCTGAGTTATCATCTCAGTTCTGACCAGTCTCAGTAAGCTACATTATCATCTCAGTTCTCACCAGTCTCAGTAACAAAATAGTAAAAAAGTCGAGATAGTCATGTTTTTTTCGGTACAATTATCTCAACTTTTACATAACTATCTCGCCTTTTGTACATAACAATAATCTCACCTTTGTACATGACATAATTATCTCACCTTTGTATTGGGTACAATCATCTCACCTTTGTGCATGACATAATTATCTCGCCTTTGTACATAATAATCTCACCTTTGTACGTGACATAATTATCTCACCTTTGTATTGGGCACAATTAAATTAGCAACGTGTGTCACATTGAATGTTAAAGGCACACAGTCCCGTCTGTGTGGTTGGGTCAGCTTGTTGATAGTGGTCACCACTGCCTCTACTGCCCCTTTTACCACCGGGTCAGACAATGGGGCTGGCATCTCCTGTACACATGTACACCTGTTGTTATAAATGTTAATGTTAAGTACAGAACGCTATGCATGCATGAAACAATTTCCTTATCTTACTAAAATTTATTTTAACAACTGAATTCCTAAAAATGACTGACTTCCTAAAAATTACCGACTTCCTAAAAACGACTGACTTCCTAAAAATGACAGTCCTAAATGCATAAGAAATAATTACTGGCATCTCAGAATAAATATAGTCTACCTTTCCAAAACTCCTAAACATCCCATCTAAAGTAGGAACTACTGTCACAAACTTAGGTTCAATAAATCCTGGCTATAAATAACTTAACTGCATATCTCAAAAATATAACTTCATTAATGTCCACAAAACAGCGCACCTTTTATAGTCAAGTTTCAGGCCAATAACTAGTCCTATGTGACTGATTTCAATTCATGATTGAAGGGGAAAATAGGCCTGCTTCCTGACATTGACACAAAATGCAAGCCATGACACAGCAACGCCATATTGTGCCATCTGACAGTAACACTGTGTATAATTTCAGATTAATTTGAACTAACTACATCCATATTAAAAGGCAGACAATGCTAAAAGTGCCAAACAAGAACCGACTACATCCATATTACAAGGCAGACATTGTTAATACTGTCTAACAGGCAGACATTGCTAACACCGCCTAACAGGCAGACATTGCTAACACTGCCTAACAGGCAGACATTGCTAACACTGCCTAACAGGCAGACATTGCTAACACTGCCTAACAGAGAAGCCTAAAATGGGATGTGTTCATATCACATGAAAGACAACTTTAATAAGTGAGGAGTCTTGAATGAGACTTTTTTAGAACTTAGTAAGGATCTTCAATGAGACTTTCTTAGAACTCAAAAGATAAAGTAGCCATCATGGAATAGACTAAAACAGATCAAACTGACCAGTGTGTTTCAATGCCTGCCTCGGCACAGGTCCTGTTAGCAGGTATGGCACGCAAGAGGCTAATTCCTCTTCTGGATGTGGACACCTGCAGGAAAAGAAAGTAGGAGAGTTCAATGCTGCTTTAATGTTACAATATCTATGTGCCGTGTGCACATTACTACGTTACAATATCTATGAGCTTTTTTGACATTATTATGTTCTAATATCCGTGAGCTTTGTTGACATTATTATGTTACAATATCTGAGCTTTTTTGACATTATTATGTTACAATATCTGAGATTTTTTTTACATTATTACGTTACAATATCTATGAGCTTTGTTGACATTATTACATTACAATATCTATGAGCTTTGTTGACATTATTATGTTACAATATCCATGAGCTTTGTTGACATTATTACGTTACAATATCCATGAGCTTTGTTGACATTATTATGTTACAATATCTATGAGCTTTGTTGACATTATTATGTTACAGTATCTATGAGTTTTGTTGACATTATTATAGCTGTTAAGCAGTGATCTGGTACTAACAAGTTACTCTAAATCCTTTACAAAATAATCTGCTATTGGGGCTGCATATTTTTTTTGTTGTAATATAATGGTTAAATATACAGGTATTTACCATATGTGCTATGTTCATTAAAATAATTAAGGGACACAGACATAAAAAAAAGTTTGGTGTTTTACTGTTGACAAGTCCAGCAGGTCAAGAAGGGTCTCATGAACATCAAACGGCGAGGTAAGACGGGCGGCATTCATCACGACATTCCTGTACAGGTCACTGTGCTTCTTCCTGAAATCTTCTGGCAGGTAAATGGCCAAAAATGGCAGCCGCTCCTCTATCTTGCCCTGAAGCGTCATGCGAACTTTACCGCGCCGGGAGCCATGATCGGAGAAGACTATCACGGCGGTGTCCTTCAACTGACCTTTTCTCCGGAGGCGCCGGAAAAAATTCAGGAGGTCGGAATCCAAGTACTGAGAGGGATTGACCTCATCGTGGCTCAGTTCTCCTGAGAAGCCAACGGCAAATCTGGAGATGTTGCGATATTTGAGAAAAAAATCGTCCAGGTATTGGAAGAGATACTGGTGATTAGGTGTTGGACCCGTGCAGAACTGCTCACTGCAAGCCTGCCTCAGGTGAGATTCTCTCTGTGCCTGAAACAATTAACAAGGCACTCAGTGCAATTTCTTTTTAATGGATTACAAACAATTTACTTTTAAAACCAGTCAGGGGTCAGATGATTTAAAACAGACCAATCAAAATAATGCATACAATTTTTTAAAATTTAATTTTTATCTGATTTTAATTATTATTTATCTAATCTATTTATATTTAAACGCAGTTCACTTTTTTGGCAAGTAACTTTAGTAGATGGGAAGTTCAGCTTTAGTAGATGGGAAGTTCAGGCACTGGTGTCGCCAATGTTTTGTGGGCTCCATCTAGTTTTAAATAATTGAGATTTTTATCAAGCCTGCCGCAACTTGATGTATGTCTGTGTCGACATTTATTTGGCAACTTTAAACCAAGTTGTCCATAACATAGAAAGTTTCAATTTGGCAGGAAAATTTGTCTCACCTAGTCATTTTCATCTACGAAAGTTTGGCAGATCCTTAATTTAATAATACCTAAAATATATTATTAAAACACCTGTTTTTTTTGTTGTTTGTTTCATGATCCAAATCCAACATTTTAATCCAGGGAATTGTAAGAATTGAAAGAAATAATTCCTTGATTAAAAGTGTGTGCTAAGAAGAATGAGCCAAAGTGGCTTAAAGTGAAAGTAAGCCATGTGCTGCTTTAAGGAAAGGTACACCACTACCCACCAGCCTTATATACATACATATCACCATAGTTGTAAAGGAAAAAAACAAGCTAATCATTCAGAATGAGGTCAAACATTTTCATTTTAACACATTTTTTTACCTGCCAAAAATACCTCATATAGTGATCAGTAGGAATTTGATCAAAGCCTCCCAGCCTCAGGTTGAATACCCCGAGGTGTGGTTCATCCTCAGCAAACATTGTGGCATAACCTTGTCTCTTGAAGTCATTCCACACAAAGTTGAGACCATCAAGTGTCTGGTTGTGAATATCAGGAACTTCATGCTGCAGTTGGCCTGATACAATGAGATTAATAGGTATGTAGGAGTCATAACTCTTTTTAAATCAGAGTATTTTAAGCTTTTTGTACAGTGTGCCACCCTGTACCATCATTTTGTTTCTTTAATTATTATTACCATTTGTATTTTTATTTTGTACATTATCAACCAATTATTTTAACTATGTAAATAATCAACGAATTATTACTATTCAGATGTTCACAGCTTAAATTGTATGGATAAATAAATAAATGAATTAAAATTATAATCCTCTATGTACATATGTATCTGTACCCAGTGTTATAGGTGGGCAAAAAAAATAATTCTAGAAGTAAGTACGAATTGGGATTCTTATATAGTGTGTTATCATACTGGATGTTTTGTCAAGTAACTTTGGTAGATGGAAAGTTCACTCATCCTTGTCGCCATTGTTTTGGTGGGTTATAAGTACTGATGTGTACATTTAATAATATCAAGTACTGATGTGTACATTTAATAATATCAAGTACTGATGTGTACATTTAATAATATCAAGTACTGATGTGTACATTTAATAATATCAAGTACTGATGTGTAGATTTAATGAAATCATGTACTAACTGTGTGTAGATTTAATGATATGTACTGACCGTGCGTATATTTAATGATATCAAGTACTGATGTGTATATTTAATGATATCAAGTACTGATGTGTATAATGATATCAAGTACTGATGTGTATATTTAATGATATCAAGTACAGATGTGTACATTAAATGATATCAAGCACTGATGTGTACATTTAATGATATCAAGTACTGATGTGTACATTTAATGATAGATATCATGTACTAACTGTGTGTAGATTTAATGATATCAAGTACTGATGTGTATATTTAATGATATCAAGTAATGTGTATATTTAATGATATCAAGTACTGATGTGTATATTTAATGATATCAAGTACTGATGTGTATATTTAATGATATCAAGTACTGATGTGTATATTTAATGATATCAAGTAATGCGTATATTTCATGTTATCAAATACTGATGTGTATATTTAATGTTATCAAGTACTGATGTGTATATTTAATGATATCAAGTACTGATGTGTATATTTAATGATTTCAAGTACTGATGTGTATATTTAATGATATCAAGTACTATTGTTGGGTACATTTAGTTACTGATGTCAAGAGTTGTAGATTATAGATGTCATTAGTATCGCAGATGTCAAGCATGACTGGTTACTAATGTCATTAGTATCACAGATGTCAAGCATGATTGGTTAATAATGTCCATTAATGAGCACCACAGATGTCAAGTGATATTGTGTAATGATGCTGAGTAGGATGGACTATTGACGTCAAGTGTCATGGGCTATTGACATCAAGTATCATGGACTATTGATGTCAAGTATCATAGACTATTGATGTCAAGTGTCATGGGCTACCCATGTCTAGTGTTCAAATTTAGTGAAGTGTCTCAATTCTTTCTTAGTGTATCAGCATTGATTTACTACAACATTGGATATCTATCACAAAACACTAACAAACACAAAAAGACTAACCAACAAAGATGGGGAGGATTGCTTGAGTAGTTCCATCTCCAACAATGTTGTATCCATCAAACACTACGGCATGCAGGTCTTTCTGTAAATAATTCAACGTCAGCGGCAGTTTACGCTTGAAGGTCAAGCTAGACATGGAGTCTATACCGAACATGAGGATGTTCAATCCTGGTAGAAAAATCATTAAAGAAAAAAATTATGTACACCATCTATGATAGGTTGTCTAAAGCATTTCCCAAATTACTTGACCACGCCATCCCTTTAGTGCCATGACCAGGCCATCCATGTCGTGCCATGACCAGGCCATCCATGTGATGACATGACCAGGCCATCCATGTCATGCCATGACCAGACCATCCATGTCATGCCATGACCAGACCATCCATGTCATGCCATGACCAGACCATCCATGTCATGCCATGACCAGGCCATCCATGTGGTGCCATGACCAGGCCATCCATGTGGTGCCATGACCAGGCCATCCATGTGGTGCCATGACCAGGCCATCCATGTGGTGCCATGACCAGACCATCCATGTGGTGCCATGACCAGACCATCCATGTGGTGCCATGACCAGGCAATCCATGTGGTGCCATGACCAGGCCATCCATGTGGTGCCATGACCAGGCCATCCATGTGGTGCCATGAGCAGGCCATCCATGTGGTGCCACGAGCAGGCCATCCATGTGGTGCCATGAGCAGACCATCCATGTCTTGCCATGACCAGGGTTGTCCCCAGCATACAGCTATTCAGGGCCATGAGGAAAAGCCTAGGGAAAAAACCTAACACCTAAGTTAACACAGTGGCCGACCTAACGCAGCCTTCAACTCTATCCTAACACAGCATTAACTCTATCCTAACACAGCATTATTTTCATGTTTTGTCCTGCATGTTACTTTTATTTGGCACAGCCCAGCAAAAATTACAATATCTTTTTTTGACACCTGTTTCTTAACTGTCCCCGTTGTTTTTTTTTTAATTTTTATTACAAAGTTAAGTCTTTTAACTTATCTAAACATTCAGAATTAACATTCTTACCTGATCCTTTCTTGGATCTCGTTGCCCTCCTGGATCTCTCAAAAACACTTTTATGGGGGCTGACCTGCACCAACAGCTGTTCCTCTTCACAAGATGGCAGCTCTTGGTAAAACATGTCTTGCCGCAGCTCGTCCCATTCTTCAATATTCTCCACGTTGTAGTACTCTTTCATAGGCCGGGCATCCTCCTCCGACTTTTCAACCATGGGGCCCACATCTGGGTCAGATGCTACTCCCTGAACTGGGAATTTTGTCTTGTTTTCTGGCTCAATCAGAAGTTTTGTATTTTTTATGGAATCCAAGAAAAGTGGTTTGACTTTATTCAACCCGTTACTGAGCGGAGCCAATGTTTTGTACTTTACTAACACTTTTGACTCTGTAACAATGTTTTTTGACAGAGAATCGTTTTGACCAAAGGCTCCGACAATTGGTTTATTTATATTTGGAGAGTTTTGTTTTGTCAGGGTTGAATGTAAAAGATGTCGTGTGGACCGTTTGGGCATGATTGTGTCATATCTACTGGACCCAGACCATTGAACAGCACTTGTAGTTTTCCGAAACCAGAGTCTAGAATGGTCAATGTGACCTTTCTCAGCTGAAGGTACTGGTCCAGAACGGTTGATTTGACTTTTCTCAGCTAAAGCTACTGGTCCAGAATGGTCAATGTGACTTTTCTCAGCTAAAGGTACTGGTCCAGAATGGTCAATGTGACTTTTCTCAGCTGAAGGTACTGGTTCTTCCACTAAAACTATTAAGTTGCCGCCTTGTCTCTGGCTAGTTTCTTGGTTAAAATCATCATCCCCGATAAAGACGCACTTGACATGCAAAAAGTCTTCATTCACTCTCTCAGGTTTCGTGGCTGAGATCTCTTTCAGATCTACCTCTGTGCTCTGTCTATCAGTGTCTCGTCTTATAGCTGAAAGTTGACAACTTTTCACCAGTCTTTTCCCCAAGGCTGTCTTGTTGGGAACTAGATAACCTTGGTGCATGTAGAAGAGGTTCGGCCCCGTGCACTGTAAAGGTTTCATGGTGTAGAATGCAAATGATAATGCATCATTCTTTAGACTTAATTTTGGTTGGGTGCATTTCTGGGGATAAAAAAATTAAATAGACTTTAAAAGCAATACCAGTAGTAGGAATGCGAATGTCAGTCAGTGAGACAGATGACAGTAGTTAGAAGAAAGTAGGAGTAATTCAAATTAAAGTAGGAGTCACAAAAAAAGTGGAAGACGTCAGATTCAAATTGTCAATGTCAATTAAGTTTGTACTGCATTGTGAGAATCAATGTCAATTAAGTTTGTACTGCATTGTGAGAATCAATGTCAATTAAGTTTGTACTGCATTGTGAGAATCAAATGTTCATTAAGTTTGTACTGCATTGTGAGAATCAATGTTAATTAAGTTTGTACTGCATTGTGAGAATCGATGTTAAGGGGGGACAGGTAGTCAAAATGCTAAAATTTTAAATACATGACTAAGACAGAATATTTTTTGCTAATCACATTGCAAAAGCAATAAAAACACTTAAAAAAACCAATTGGGACTAATTAATTTTTTTTTTTTATGCTTTTGATGAGAAAATAGGGGTAAAATTGAGCAATTTTATATACTTACAGGAAACAGCGTAGCTCAATAACCACCAATAAGAATTCAATGAAACTTGGCATAAATATTAATAATAGGACATTGCACAATGTGATAGAAGGAAATTAGCATAACTGAAAAAATAATTTTTTTGTGAATTTTTTAAAATTATGTCAAAAAATAATCCATCATTTACGTAAACTGTCCTATCAAAATTCAAAATAATTTTTTTGTCTCTTAAAATAGAATAAAAACCCTCTATCACATTGTAGATAAACATGTTAGGAACATGTGGTGCAAATTTCTTTATAATCTGATAGGTTGTTTCTGAGATACACTGCTTCCAATAACCTGACCCTCGTAAAATTGACACAAATGAGAAAATGCAAAAAGAAGTTTTATTATTGAAATAATTTATTTTTCAAATAATTAAAGTGGCATAAAGTTATATTATTATATCACCTTGGCTTCTTGAAAATATGATACATCAAAAATATATTTAAAAAGTCTTTCTGTGGAAAAAATATAACTGATTCTCTAGCCCACCCCCCAAAGAAAAAAAATGCGAAAAATTTAAATAAATCTGCTCTGAGATAAAACTGCCTCTTTTCCTCTTATGTGTTGTGGAACCTCTTCTGAGCAATAGCTGACTGCCAACAGTAACATGTCTTTCCAGTAGGGCAGTCATGGTGTTTAGGGTTCTCATCAGGCCAGGCAGCTGCAAGCATGCGGAAAATGTCAGAATATTCCTCCGAAGGTCTTTTCATCTGTAACTTTCGATGGCCACTGCATTCTCACAGGGCCACTGCTGAAGATTCATTTTATCTGTTAAAAATGTATATATAATTACACT